TCATTTAACTAATCCCACAATTGTTGATTATAATTTCATAATTGCCTTTGGATTATTTGCACTGTAATGAATATTTTTTCCATCAGTGTTTGAGCAACTTGATATTCCACTTTAAATTTGAATTGCAATTTAAATAGGAATTTGAAATGAGATATGATGCAGTGATGATCAAGCATTGTTAATCATGCTGACTTGGCACTATCACAAGGTGATTACTGTAGCATAATGACATGGGGTGTTACAGTCCCAGGCCAGATCCTATTGGGTGCCTTAAGCGCCGGATTTAGGGAAATCCCCTACCCAACGCACACACCCCTCTCCGCCTTGGGCTAGCCCACACTCACTTTTTTTCCTATTCTATTAAAGTTCAAAAAAGATGCGCCCAACTAGTTTCAAACTCGAGATCTCTAGGTAACGTACAGACAGAGGCAACCAACAGACTACGATAGTAGTAGTGATGACTTTAGGCATGGCTTTATTCTTAGTTAAAAATGCAGTGGTTTCTCTCTTTTGTTTTTTTCCTTATTTGTTTTGGCCGGTTTTTCTTATTTTTTTCTCTTTCTCTTTCTTTTTCCGTTTCTTTTCTTTTTACAAATCAAGAAAGCTAACTTTCAGTCGACTGGAAGTTAGCGACAGATTCACACGATTCTGGAGCCGCTCGATCCTGCTCGATCCGCTTCTTCTCTCGCGCGATCCCTTCCCAATTTCCTCGCGCCCATAATCTTCTCCCGTGATTTAAGGACGGTTTCAATTATCATTAAGGAAATACGTTAACTTTTTTTTTAAAATCAAGACTTTTCTTAAATTCACAAACTTTTTTCAAATTCATGGTTTTTTCATTTCTGCTAAATGCATGAACTTTTTTCTTCAAATTCATGATTTTTTTATTTAAAATTGATAAACTTTTCTTCAAGATTGATGAACTTTTTTTCAAGATCGATGAACTATTTTCCAAATTCTATGAACTTTTTTCAGATTTGATGAACTTTTTTTTAGAATCAACAAACTTTTTTCAAATTCGATGAACTTTTTTTAGATTTGATGAACTTTGTTTCAAAGTCAATGAACCTTTTTCAAATTCGATGAACGTTTTTTCAAATTCAATGAACTTTATTTAGATTGGATGACCTTTTCACAGAATCAATGGACTTTTTTCAAATCCGATGAACTCTTTTAAAAAAGATGGATGAACTTTTTCCAAATTTGATGAACTTTTTTCAAATCGACGACTTTTCTTTCAAATTCGATGAACTTTTTTTAAACATCAATGAACTGTTTTTTAAAATTCATAAGCTTTTTTTGAAATTTGATGAACTCTTTTTGTTTAAAAAACCTACTTTTCCAAATTGTTTTCAACTAATTCACAAATCTAATAGATAGAGCGCATACATTGGTTCTTAAAACTTTCGCGGCCATTGTAGTCGTAGCGCTTACCGGCTGTAGTGGTTAAGAAAATTGTTCTTGTGTTGTGCCTGCAAGGCATGAGTTCCAATCCTTGTAGCCACACTTTTTTGCGTGATTTTTTCGCGAGGCAATTTTCCTTCTACTGTGCGTGGTGGGCCGGCTAATGAGGTGCGGCGCGTGGGCGCCAGCTACCTGTTCGGGCGCTTAAAGCGCCGAACAGGAGCTCTCCAAATTCTCAAAAAAGTGTATCGCGCGTGTGTATGAGTTGGAGTTGCATGCTAGTCAGCTACATAGCCCCCGGAGTGGCTGCATGGTCGGGCGAGCTGTGGACGTGTCTTTTTTGTTTTTGAATATTAGCATCTAAATTTTGATCACATGCCACATGAGAGGTAAAAAGGTCTTTTCAACCGACATTTAACACCGTTAAGGCTAATAGACGAAAGTGTTATAAAGGACATAAAATTTAGAATAGGTGTTAAATAAGGAAGAAAAATATTTTCAGTGTCAAATAGGAAGAGAAAATTTAAGACAATGTTAAATAAGGAATTCTCTCAAAACTATTTGTAGTTTGATCGCTCGGTCAAAAGATATTTTTATTTAGAATTTGAATCTCGTTAAAAAAATTACATAACCTACCACACCTTCGATCATGTGGAAGAAATCCACCCAAACTCTGGTGATTTTGATAATGAAATCGTACGATTCCATCAACAAGAAAACAGACACAATATCATTCCAAAAAAACACATAATATGATCAAATTTTAGTGTTATAATACACGGGTTTCTTAGCTTTTATCTAGAAGAGTGTTAACTATCTCGCTCAACTCCTCGGTCGAATCCTATATTATTCTTAAAAAGTTTATCCAAATTTTCTCAACATAGAAAGTGTTCATCTCAACGTCCCCATTAAGTCATGCATTTAAGTGTTCTCTCCCACTAAGTCATGCATTTAAGTTTACCACATAAGATCATGATTAACAATATAGCCGGTTGATGGCTATAACATGTTGCCATGTCATCTATAGCCAATGTAATAGCCAATATGTATAGTAGTGGCTACAAAGAAGTAGTACTTTTTTACCACATGGCCCACCATACACTCTCACATAGTTTCTTGAAGCCCGTGCTATAGCCGGCTGTAAATCTATAACTCGCTTCTCCTCTCTCTCAACTTCTCTCTCATCCAACTCAACAAAGGTATAATATTTAAAGTCTTACAGCCTGCCTAGGTCACCTTATTATACTTGCTCTAAGCAAGCCATGCATTTAACTTATAAATTATATTATTATTTTACATTAGTCTATGCATGTAGCACTGTCACATCATACATACATGTTAGTCGTCCTTCACATTTTTGTTCGAAATGGCATTTTTTGTTGCAATTATTTTTTATTTCTAGACATATGTTTTATTGATTTTCAAGATTATATTTTTTCATTAGATTTAATTATTTTAGCAACTATTTATGCATTTCTTTAACAAAGTTTCCACAGCAATGGGTAAAGCATCATCTAGTTTACATGAAGTTTCGTGGAGATGTTCCCTTTTTGTTTGACTATTTTATGTGTTTTTTCCATGTCAAACACAATTACAACATGCTCATCTATGTGTGATTATAGCACGCCCGCCGGCTATACGCAACTACAATATCCCACTTCAACCGAGCGCAACTGCAATTGCAAGCACGCCAGCCGGCTATTGCGGAAACGTATGTCCACTAGGAGTGCGTAACTACTAACTAGAGTTACAACTGCATGGCAACTATATTTACTATATTTTCTAAAGAGAAAAAAATACAGTAAAGAGGGTGGAGAAAAAGAAGGAGGAAAAATAAGTAAAAGGAATAAAAAATCCTATTATTAAAAAACAGTATAATGCAGGTAGCTAGGAGCCTCCAGAGCGATTTGACTGCCTCAACCGTCGGATCCTCGAACCTACGATCCAGATCTAGCTCTGGTCGTCCCAGGCCAGATCCTTTTGGGCGCCTTAAGCGCCGGATTTAGGGAAATCCCCTAACCGGCGCACACCCCCCCTCTCCGCCTTGGGCCAGCCCACACTCACTTTTTTTCTATTCTATTAAAGTTCAAAAAAGATGTGCCCAACTAGTTTCAAACTCGAGATCTCTAGGTAACGTACAGAGAGAGGCAACCAAGAGACTACGATAGCAGTAGTGATGACTTTAGGCATGGCTTTATTCTTAGTTAAAAACGCAGTGGTTTCTCTCTTTTGTTTTTTTTCTTATTTGTTTTGGCCGGCTTTTCTTCCTTTTTCTCTTTCTCTTTCCTTTTCCGTTTCTTTTCTTTTTACAAATCAAGAAAGCTAACTCCCAGTCGACTGGAAGTTAGCGACAGATTCACATGATTCTGGAGCCGCTCGATCCGCTTCTGCTCTCGCACGATCCCTTCCCAATTTCCTCGCGCCCAGAATCTTCTCCCGTGATTATAGGACAGTTTCAATTATCATTAAGGAAATATGTTTTTTTAAATCAATACTTTTCTTAAATTCGCAAAACCTTTTTGAAATTCGTGATTTTTTTTCATTTCTGCTAAATGCATGAAATTTTTTCTTCAAATTCATGATTTTTTATTTAAAATTGATAAACTTTTCTTCAAGATTGATGAACTTTTTTCAAGATCGATGAACTATTTTCCAAATTCTATGAAACTTTTTCAGATTTGATGAACTTTTTTTTAGAATCAACAAACTTTTTTCAAATTCGATGAACTTTTTTTAGATTTGATGAACTTTTTTTTAATCGATGCACTTTGTTTCAAAGTCAATGAACCTTTTTAAAATTCGATGAACTTTATTTAGATTGGATGACCTTTTCACAGAATCGATGAACTTTTTTCAAATCCGATGAACTCTTTTGAAAAAGATGGATGAACTTTTTCCAAATTTGATGAACTTTTTTCAAATCGATGACTTTTTCTTTCAAATTCGATGAACTTTTTTTAAACATCAATGAACTATTTTTTAAAATTCATAAGCTTTTTTCAAAATTTGATGAACTCTTTTTGTTTAAAAAATCAACTTTTCCAAAAAAAATCAAATAATTCACAAATCTAATAAATAGAGCGCATACATTGGTTCTTAAAACTTTCGCGGCCATTGTAGTCGTGGTGCTTACCGGCTGTAGTGGTTAAGAAAATTGTTCTTGTGTTGTGCCTGCAAGGCGCGAGTTCCAGTCCTTGTAGCCACACTTTTTTGCGTGATTTTTTCGTGAGGCATTTTTCCTTCTACTGCACGTGGTGGGCTGGCCCATGAGGTGCGGTGCGTGGGCGCCAGCTACCTGTTTGGGCGCTTAAGGCGCCAAACAGGAGCTCTCCAAATTCTAAAAATAATAGAGCACTCCACAAATAGACGGAGAGAGATTGAATGTGTTTTCCTTATGGGCCAAACGGGTGTATTGAGCCCATTTAGACAGCCATAGGACTCTACACAAACCCTAAAATTACGCGTGCTCTGATCCTTTCTCAAAAAAAAAAAAAAAAACGCGTGCTCTGATCATTCCCCCTCCCCAACACCACACTACGCCGCCGCCAACCACCTCTCCACATCCTCCATGCCGGACAGCCTAGGTCGGACAGGAGATGGACAAGCTGTTGGCGCAGATGCTGGGGAGCATCTTCCTCTGCCTCCCCGACCCAGCTGACCTCGGCCGCACCTCGGTCGCCTGCAAGTCCTTCCGCGACCTCATCGCTGACAGCTACTTCCGCCGGCAACATCGCAAACGCCACACCTCGCCCCTCCTGGGCTTTGTCGGCAAATTCGGCGACTTCCACCGCGCCATCTCGCCGCACCCCTCCGCGCTGGCAGCCAAGACCGTCGACAACGCCTGCGACTTCTCCTTCTCCTTCCTCCCTAGGACGGAGAGCATCATCTATGGTGTCGTGGATATCCGCGAGGGTCGCGTCATCCTCGCCACAGTGAATGAGGTGTTTGGTGAGGATTACGTGGTGTGTGACCCCTTGCACCGCACGTATGTGGTTCTCCCCAAACTCCACGACGCTGCGACATCCAAAAGAAACATTTTCTTAGCCCCACCGATGCCGGAAACTGTTGCTGACAAGGATGGGCAGACAACCTTCAGAGTGATTAGGATGGCGCCGAGAGGAGACCATTTTGATACCCATGTCTTCTCTTCCTGGACTTGTCAGTGCGAAGCCCGTCCATCTGTAATCTGGAGGGGTCCTGTTGGCTCCCATTTGTTTACTCTGCCAGGGATGGTTAACCACTGCCGTGCACAATATGCTCACGGCCGCTTCTACTTCGTATCTAATATCAATAGATGGGAAACGCTGGTTCTTGACCCCATGACAATGGAGTTTTCTACTATTGATGGCCCTCCCATGGACAGAGTTTGTGATGAAGACATATGTATCGTGGAGGCAGATGAAGGCAGTCTCGGGATGTTTCTAACGTACCAAGACTATGACAGAAGCATGATCATTTATTGGCAAAGTGAAGGTGATATTTCCGGACCATGGCGCGAAGAGAAAAGAATTGTTGTAGGTGACATGTGTAGAGTTTTTTCTTCCGAAGGGAGACATGTATTTGGACATGATACTATTGCATGTTTCTCATTGGATGCCAAAGCATTGGAGCTCGAGAGGGTATGTTACATGATTCTGGATGAGGCGTACCCATATAGCAATCTTCCACTACCGTACGCATTACCCACCGTAGCATCAGGTCAGCTTCATAGTAATTCATACTAGTAAGCTTCATAATGTATCCTAGTTACCTCCTTTCCGTTCTTGTCTAAAGACTTCCTGTTTGTTCTTTGTTCCAGGCCCCAAAGAGACGCAGCAGACCAGAACGATTGCTGAGGAGATGGAGGACGCTCAGGAGATGGAGGATGACGAGTACCTGTTCTAGGACCTTGAAGTGGATTTTCAGTTACTAGAAGAGGAGAATGACAACGATGACGACTTCTTGTCAGAGCCTACAGTGACTTTTGAGTTAACAGCCGAGGAGACGCATAAGCAGGTGGCTGCAGCCATTGGACACTCGAATGTCTGGAACTCGCACCCCAAGAACTACGGCCCCGGATCCAGGGTTTGGTAATAATCCCCTCTCTCTAGCACCTACATACCGTGCCCTGTCTTAGATTGGTAGCAAGAGGCGGTTTCTCTATGTACGTGTAGATCCGCGGCGCAAGCTGGTCGCTTAGCTTGTGTTTGAGATTCAAGATTTACGTGCCTTGTATTATTTGCTGAGTTTGTGACGGGTTGCGGCTTGGGTTTTTGTTGTTGCAGCCGTGTCTGTGGCAACTCACATGGCCTGATCCGCAAGTACGGGCTAATGTGCTGCAGGCAGTGTTTCCGCAGCAACGCCAAGGACATTGGCTTCATCAAGGTATGCGGTAGCCACACCGTTGGTCGATTTCCTGAATCCCATGCCTGAATTTTATATCATCCGAGTGATAGTTTATGTCACTCCATGCTTTCTTTGCAATGTTACATGATTTGTCAACAAGGCTTCTCTGTATGGTGAACTAGTTTAATTTGTTGTAGACCACCAGCAGGTAAGGTAGCATGGACTATTACGTAATGTTTGATATGGCATGTTAGATTCACTTGTTGGATAGATGCGTGTGCTGCTCCCCTCCTGCTCCAATAATCTTCCTGGTCAACTTTCGCAATCATCACCTCATGTTCTGCCTTATAATATTGTCATCTCTTTGATCTAAACTCATGAATCATTAAACACCATAAGTCATCTTAGGACCGTTGCTGCAACTATCTTCATGACTTTGGTACAAAGCTCTATTTTGTTGTTCCCACATACATGGAATGCATTGCAATAGTATGTATATCCATTAAGTAGGTATATATACATATCCTGAGTAACTGTAATGTACTGGAGTATGTAGATGATTGAACATTGGAAGGATATTTCTGATTAATTGTAGGTTTTATGCTTGAATTCATAGGTTTGGGTAAATTATGTTTCTGTTCTGATGCATTTGTTTTTACTGTACATCTCTTTTATTTCCGAATACCTGAATGTTCGTGTTGTGCACAGATTAATTTTAGATTACTGAATGTACACTCTTGTTTCGCAGTACCGTTAAGATTGGAAACCTCAAAAGGAAGCATGGAGTAGGATGTCATCGTCAAAGTGTGTTGATTCATAAGGACTATCTGTATTATATATTATGTAATGAACTAAATGTTTGAATCAGAGTAACAAACCTTTGAAACTGTGCTGCCGACTTCTGCTTGAGCATGTGAATCAGATAATTCTGTTGCTATTGTGTCCCGTTATGTTTTTTTGTTTTGTTTGTGAAATCTGATTACACTTTGATTTGATGCTACATTTGCACTCAACAGGTTCATATCCATGCTTTTGTCTATTGTTCCTGAAACAGTATCACCTCAACTTTGCTTGTTGTCCTAATTTTGTATGATCTTCTACTGAATTATGTTAATGGCCTGCCATGATTGTTTATGATTTAACAGACTCGTGTCCTGTTAAGTCTTTAGATTGAACATGAGCTGTAGTGTTTTTTATCAAGCTAGGTAATATGTTTGTGACCTAAGCCGAGCTTTACATTATATTTTTGTGCCAGATGTTCTCTCTAATGTATTTTTTGTCCGCATGGAAGGAAGAGATCACGTGTTCATTCGAGCGATCGAACACGCGATCTCTTCCTTCCGAGTGAAGTACACTAACAATGATTGTTTTAAAAAATTGATGAACTTTTTTCAAATTTGATTAACTTTTTTTCAAAATCAATGAACTTTTTAAATATTTTGGTGATTTTTTTAAAAGTCGATGATTTTTTTCTTTCACAACTGATGAACTTTTTTCAAATTCGATGAACTTTTTTTAGAATCGATGAACTTTCTTCAAATTTGTTTTTTTTTCAAAATCAATGAAGTTTTTTCCCCAAATTCATGAACTTCTTTTTTGAAGTTTTTGACCTTTCTTTCAAAATCCCTAAACAGTTTTGAATTCACAAACTTCTTTGTTTTTGCAAATTATTTTGTTCTTTTTCCTGAAACTCGCAAACTTCTTCTCAAATTTGAAAAAAGTAGTAGATCTATGATTAATTTTTTCTTCCAAAAGTCAAAGGGCAAACTGGTGTACCATTGAGATGCATGCGAGTCCCGACTCAAAAAGAAAGATATGTGCGAGCGAGCGGATGGACGAGCGACCGAGCGAGCGCTGATTTCTCGTTTTTCTGGCCCGGCCTGCTATATCTCTCCTTTCGAGTGTGGGGATGGCTAACTGGTGCTGAGAGCGCCAATTGGGAGTACCATCATGATCCTCTTCTTGTTCAGGATCTTCTCGAAGGAATGGGACATGAAAGTGGGCTTGGACCAGTTACGTGAATAGGCAACATCGAACATATAAACCCTGCTACCCTACCCGCCGTTCTGGAGGCTTTGCATCGTGAGGTGATTTTGCTTCGTCCGATCTGCCTCGCTGGCGTGCTTCTACCCCGCTGTTGAAAATCCAGCCACCCATTCATCTACACGTCATACTTTCATGTGCCGCTGGATGACGGGCGGTCCTCCTTTTCTTGTGGGTCCAGTTTTACAGCGTGTCTCGCGCTTATCCTGTGTGCGAAAAGATGAGCTCCGCAGCGAGCGTGGGGTTCTCACGGTGAAACCCTAGACCAACCGCCCGCCCCTTCGAGCCACCAATCGCTCGCCCCTCGAGCCCTGCATCCCCTCTTCCCATTCTCTCCATCACCCCTACGCTGCCTCCTCCTCTCCTCATCTCCTCCTCTGCAACAGCGTGTGGTCGCCGTCGTCGCTCATCTCTTTCGTCGCGCCCTTTATCCTCCATGGCTCCTCTCCTGCGTCCATCCTGGCGGTGGCGACCTACAGGCGAAGGGCAGCGGCGGCGTTAGATTCGAGCTGGAGTCATCTCCCGCGTCCGGAGCTTGTGGTCGGCCAAAGTCCTCTCCCGTGTCCGTCCCGGCGGGGCCCGCGACCTGCACCTAAAGGGTGACGACAGCTAGAAGAGAGAGAAGAGGAAGGGGACGAGGGAGAAAGAGATAGGAAAGAGGAGACTAAAGCTTTTCCCCCCAATCCCCTCACAGTCGCCGCCCCGAGCTCCTCTTTCCCTCCACTTCCCCGACGCCACCACTTGTGCTCGGCAGAAGGAGTGGCTGCAGTGATGGCAGATGCACGAGGAGGTGGAGGAGGAGGAAGAGGAGGCTGTGGTCATGGCGGCGCGACGGATATCGTGTCCGGGCGGCGCGGTTGGTTGAGTCGGAGGTGCTAGCGCGCGGGGTCGTAGTCGAGCTGGGCGTGAGGAGAGGGAGGAGAGGGATGGGAAGAATGGGAGGCGCAAGGACGGCGGCGGTCGCCATCTCATTCCCCATCTCTTCTCGTTGCATGTCCCCCGTGAGTTCCTCTTTCTAATCCCCTTCCTCTCCACAAGTTATCTTTTTTTTTTTTTATGAAATCTGTATGTTCGCTCATTGGGCGGCCAGGGATGCTAGAGATGGAGGCCTCGGCAGGAGGAGCTCGAGCCGAGGAGCGCGCCCTCGATCCGGACTCAGCAGGAGAAGGGGAGCAGCAGCCGCGTCGGCCTCATCGCAATGCGTGCAGCAAGCTGAAGACGCGGCAAGAGCGGTGGTCAAGACCGCGGTCACGGCTTCGGGGTACCACAGTCGCGGCTTCAGGGCTGCGCACACGTCGAGCAATGGCGAGGGCATCTCATGTCGCACACCGAGGTGAGCTTCACCAAATCTCTCTCTCTCTCAATCAATGATCGCTTCATTCCGTCTCCTCCCCTTTTTTCCTCTTCTCAGACAACAACAGATGACAAGTTGCAATGCCCCATCTTCAGCTTGCAGGTTGCTGATTTTGGTCTTCTCCTCTTGCTGGTTTGCTTTGATTAGTAGAACAAGTTGCACAACATGTGTTTGTGAAAGTGCTTCTCACAGATGAAACCTTTTTTATGCCTAGACCTGCCTTCTTTCTTAGGAGCATATGCTTGCTAAGACATTGTGGTCTAAATTTCATAAATAAGGCCGTGCATTTTTTTGCTTGGGTCCATTTCAATATCTGGAACATGTGTTCCTTGTGTATGCACACAATTAGTCTTGAATCTCTACCAACAGAACATATGTTCTTTTGCTAGAATGTGTTCTTTTATTATAAATCAAGGTCAACTTTTATAACCCTACACTGATTTTGTTTTAACTTGCAATCCGCAGCCTCGCAAATAATATGTAGGTGTTAGTGTGCTCTTATCTGGTTTGTAGAAATGTTTTAATTGTTGCATTTGAATTCATGTTTTCTGTTATGGATTATTTACATGTTCAATAAGCTTAGTAATTTCTAATAAATATATATATGGAAACACCACAATTTCAGTTTTCTTTATTCGACGGTATGAACAACAGTTTTCAGTTTCATGCATGTCACAACACAGGTCAATGGACATTCAGGAAATATGTGATCAGCTTTCAACAGGTCCTGCATTGTCTACTAATAATCTATCTCGACAACCTTCTCAGGTTAATTCTCAATCTATAACCACCAAAACATGCAGTTCTTTACCTTCGCTGAATAGACAAAGGCAATGGCCACCCTTTTGAGTATTGTTGTTCTTAAAGAATTAATCCAGCAGCAAAAGAAACAATTGAAATGACATGCACTAAAATGACCGTTACATAAATCAAGGATTATGACATGCATTTCAGCAAGCAATTATTGAACATATAAGAAACTATTTTGTTATGTTGGGAGGTGATCACATAAAAGGCATGTCATTACCTATACCATAGAAATTTGGGAATGCATGATACATGTTGATATCCCTAGACCTGCCACTGTTGTATTCTTCTCCTTCCATGTCACCTTCGCTTGCTTGTAGCAATTCTGTGCAACTCTTACATGTATAACCCTCTA